TAGAGCCAACTATGTTCCCAAGTGTTCATTTAATCAGCGTACTGTAGCGGTAGTTTACTTACATATGGCTCTGGTTCCACTTGTTGCTGTGGAGGCTTAGATCACCAGGAATAAAAGCATTGAACACACAATCTGACGTTAGGTCCTCCTGCAGGGTCTACTGACCACTAGGATGATTAGTTTGGGAAATAGGAAATTTCTCTTTTCTTCCCCAATGGGAAAGCCTTTGGCTGGGAGATATGGTAACTGGATTCTAGAGCTGGTTCAACCATGAACTAGCGATGGTCTCTGGGCAAATCATTTATAATTTCTGCACCTTTCCTTATCTGTAAAACTGAGACAGTCACATTCCCTGCATCACCTCTTTCCTGGGGATATTTTGAGACTTCTACAATATCATAACATGAAAGTGCAGTCACCATATTTTCCTCGAGCTGAGGTTCGTGGCTGCTACTTTAGCTGAGTTTGTGCTGGCTGTCAGTTTGCAAGAAAATGTCAAATTTTTTATTGCCTTTTTCCAGAGAAAGGGAAATAAAGCTCCATGAGATTCCCCTATAGTCTGGAGGTACCTCAATTACTCTCTTTCAGACCAGGAGCTGCCTCATAGAGTGAGATTTTTGAGGGAGTTCAATACACAAGGTCCAAAGCCCTTGGGGATGAATGGCCTTTAATTTCCAGGTGGTAACTCTAGGTGCTACCAGGATGGCATGAGACATGCAGGACTCAGCTTTCACCTGCAATTTCAGGGCCTCATAGAACCCCTGAAGCCCATCCATGAATTTCCCTAATAGTTCAAGCTCCAAATTAAAAACACTTGCCTTGGGGTGGTGGGTTGGAGTCACTTAGATTAGCCCTAAGAAATTAGGCCATGCATAAAAGAACTTGGGTTGAAGCCCATCCATGAATTTCCCTAATAGTTCAAGCTCCAAATTAAAAACACTTGCCTTGGGCTGGTGGGTTGGAGTCACTTAGATTAGCCCTAAGAAATTAGGCCATGCATAAAAGAACTTGGGCTACCGGCAGGCAGATATTTTAATTAAAATGATGTTGTGACACAGGCTTCCTGCCGGGCTGCAGCAGCTCTCAGGGGATTTGTTTCTCATCTCATTTTGTTAACCTCTTTTTGTCTAGGCGTCAGATCTGCAGAATGAAGTCTCTCAAAAATAGCTTCCCGGGCACACCTGGGCTGTGGGGGCCCTGAGGGACCTCAGACGCATGAATATCAGAGGATCCCTCTAATTAAGTCCAGCCACCTGCAAATGTACAGCCTCAGGCTCAGGGACTGTGAGACCTGAGCATGTTCTGAAGACAACTCGTGGTTGCATTCGTGCAAACCCATTTCCACTGCTAGAAAAGTAATTCGTACAAGGACCTGATAAAGCTTCTTCCGAACCCCAATGGTAATGAAACTACCCAATACTTGTGCAGCGTGCAAGTTAACAAGGACTTTATCTTCCTTTGTTTAACTTGTACTACACACTGAAGAGGCAGGTAGTTGTTCTATTTTAAGGATGAGAAAATTGAGGCTCAGAGAAATGAAGTAACCTGCCCAATGTCACACAGCTGGTGGGCAGCATGTGAGTCCAGGGCTGGCGACCATGAAGCTATTGCTCCTTCTACCTTGGGTAACTGTCTTCCCCACCAAGCAGGTCTTGCAAACACTAGGAGCACATCAAAGTTCGCTGAACTGAATGTGAGGCTGAAGGTGCTCGCATACGTACCCAGCAGGCTGACACCAACCGTGCTGCCTACAAAGAATGACCAGGTCATGAGCAGAGCTGGCCTTATCTGGAGAGCCGGTCCCATCAGTTATGTAAACCGAAGTCAAAGCCAGGGAGCTCCAGACCTGTCCTACTTGGCCCCAGAGAGCCAAGGTCTTTGCTTGTTGGGGCCAAGGCCAGGAGGGAGGAAGAAGCATCGTGTGCAGATGCTTCCACGAGGCAAAGGCCCCACAAGGCCAGCAAGCAGTACCTGGCATGGGAGACAGAGGTAGGAAGGAGCTAAGCCACCCCCAGGGCAGTTCCCGCGGTGTGAAGAGGGGAGAGTCCTCAGCAGACTGTGTCTACTCTGGTAGTAGCAGGTCTCTTCTTACCCACATCCACGGAACCAGCGGGCAGGATGGATGCCCCTCCAGGAAACCTGTGTCCGCCGCTGAGTGCTGGGCTCTTCTAAAGTCTTTTGGGTTTGCGCCCAAGCCTGTTTTGTTTTGTTTCCTTTCCAGCTGTACCTCTTACTTGGTCATAGCTCAGACGAGGATCCCTAGAGCAGGCTTGCAGGTGGAGAGCTGCCTTGGGAAGGTTTACTGGGCAGGTGCACCTGTGGGCAGAGGGGGACGCTGCCCTTGAACTGAAGCCTTTGCCCGTCTCCCAGGGAGCTCTGGGGCCAGGATAACCTTTGATGTTGTCCCAAATGGAAGCAAAGGGGTGTGCCTTGCTACCCCACATCACATGGTCATTGGTCCTGTGCTGCCTCCTGGGAGGGGTGGCAGCCCTGGACCAGGCAGGGCCGCCAGGGAGGGCAAGGCCAGGGATGGTTCCAGCCTGTGAGCCACCAGCAGCCATGTGCTCAGGGGCTGGGCCAGGAGACCTGGGGCGAGCACACAGTCCTCACCGTGCTTAATTTAATTAATTCCCACTTAAGTCGTTAGACAATGAGTGTAAAAACAAAATGATGTCATTCCTATAAAAATGAAATGTTTTGGAAAGATTAGATAAAGGCGAAATGCTAAAAAAATGTAGTTAAAGAAGCTGTGGGTGAGACAGCTATGAATGATCAGAGGACAAATGTAAAAATCAAAAAGGACTTGTGTTCAGATTGCTTTATGGTTGTCTCCTGCTGCTTGTTCCATTTACTACGTTTGATTTTTTATACTGCAGGTGACCTGCGATGCTAGTGCTTTACAAACGAAAGAAACACAGAGCTCTGCTCACCAGGCTCATGAGAAGACTGGCCAGAAACGCGTGCTTGCATGTTTCACATTACAGTGCTGACTTTTGTGCCACGTATGTTCAAGTCATTGTGAAAATGATCCTCCTCTTTCCCAGACATTTTATTTCCACCCTGGCTCGGGCCCGTGTAGGAAAGGCTTCCATGAGCTTCTGAGCCAGCCCGCTGACTCCACAGATCACATCCTCACCAAGCGAATCACAGACTGCTGTCACTATTTGGGACCACCGTTGGGATCTGCCTGTTTCCCTCAGCACTGTAGTCCATTTTCTATAACTGAATACCACGGACTGGGTAATTTATAATGAACAGAAATGTGTTGGCTCTGAGTTCTGGAGTCTGGGCAGTCCAAGATCGAGGGGCTGGCTTCTGGCGAGGGGCTTCCTGCTGTGCCATCTGTGGTGGGGGTGGAAGGGCGAGGAGGGGAGAGAGAGAGAGAGGTCGGGGAGGGGAAGAGGGGGCTGAACTCATCCTTTTCTAAGGAACCCACTCCAGCAATAGCAGTGTTAATCCATTCATGAGGGCAGGGTGAATAAAGGCCCCACCTCTTAATGGTGGCAATTAACTTTTGGCATGAGTTTGGGAGGCGACGAACATTCAAACCATAGCACCCAGACTCCCAGACTGTGACGTCTGGATGACCCTCTTCCCCTCTGAGTGTAAACTGGGTGTTTCCCAAACCTTGTTCAACCAGACCCAGCTTGTCTCCCACTGCCTGGGCGTCGTTTTGGAGGTATCTGATGGTGTCCTTGCCTGGAAAACACCTGGGCAGAGCCCGGGGGCACTGGAGGGGCTGAGCCGGGCGGTGCCCTGTGCCCACGCCATGGGGCAGATGCTCTCTGCCTTCGAGGCTCTGCCCTCCCCCACTCAGCAGGCAGAATGTTTTTTAAATTCACTAATTCATTTATTCATTCAACAGAGTTACTGACAGCCCAGGTTCAAGCACAGTTCTATGTGTTAGGGCTTCTGCAGTGAACCAAACAGATAAAAATTGTAGGTTTCTGGAGTTTCCTTTCATTGGTGGGCAGGGAAGACCCCCCTGAGAAGGGCCTGCCACTTCCATGGCTGTGCACACCCACTGGGGGCCAATTCCTTTCCCATGGGGGGTGTTAAGAAGTCCCGATAAGACATCTGTGCCCCGCCTCAGGTCCTGGGGATAGCGCCATTCCCTCCTGACCTTACTGCTTGCAACAGGAGGGAACGGCGCTATCCCCAGGACCTGAGGCGGATGCCGGCACGGTCCTGCACTTCCCATTGGGACTGTCGTGACCAGAGCACACGCAACAGACCTGTAACCTGTGGTTGTTGCCTTCCATGACAAAGGGGGACCTTCCCTGCCCCACAGGTACATGTGGGGAGGTTTCAGGCCACAGACGTGGCGTGACTGCTGCAGCCACCACGGTCCTGGCGAGACCTGGCCGGCCTCGCCCCAAAGCCATTCTAGAGTTGGGGGAAGACGGAGCTTTCTGCCGGAATTGGAGTGCTCCCGGTGGTTGTGGCCACTGTCTGTTCTCAGGACCGGTTCTATCTGGTCAGGCCATACCCAGCGTTTTCAAAAGTGGGAAAATACGCAGGGGTGGCTGGACTGATCTCCAGTCCCTAAGGCAGCAGCCCCGCAATGACTTGGAAGTGTTTGTTTAATTAATCCCTTTGCTTTCAGGCTGGGCCCTGTTAATACCAGACTTACTGAATTAACACCCATAAAACTGTGGACAGACGTCCACCAGGTGAAGAGATCTGTCTAACGTTTTCTAGTGGGCAGTGCTCGGGCTTTGACTGAGAAAGTGTCTCACTCTCAGTTTAGGAAGTGGCTCTGTGTCTCCACCGTGAAACTTTCAAGGTGCGTTCAAACTCCTCTTCTCTGATTGATTTGGGACTGCGATACATTCGATCAGTCCTACTTTCTTAACTATTGATACTGCTGCCACCAGGGTGCAGTTTTTACTGGGTGCTCACCAGGATCTGGAGGTGGCACATCGGTCTTGGAGGGGCCCCATGAGTACTTTACGCACGTTTGGAGGGGAGACGCAGGAGGACAGGCAAGAAAAGAGCAATCCGAGTGGTAAAATAATGTTTTATTCCATGGATGAACCAGTGCCACATGCCACATCCCACTCCCCTCCAACCAGAGCTGGTGGCCAGAGCTGGCTTCCCTTTTCAGACCTAGTTGGCTTTGCGGTTGGTCAAGCTCACTGAAATAGCAAAAGCATGATCATGTCGTGTTCACATCGGTCCTGTTTGTCAGCGCGCTGATCCTTTCCACAAAGAGTGACGTATTCCCTTAAAAAAAAAATCCCACAATGGAGATTTTCCAATCCACCTAGTATAACTGACATTCAAAGCTCATGTGCATGAAACCAAAACCCCAAACACCAAATAGTGACATGGACACATCTCGTCTGCTGGCAGGACGTCAAGGACATTCCCAGCGGGAACAGAAGCTAGAGAAATCAGTACTGACATTCAGGTTGTCAACAAGCTCAAAAAGAAAGGACGGTAATTGATATATTTCAAACTAGCACTTTTAGAGAGTCCAGATCCGCCGAGCGTGTCAGCATGCAAGCTCAGCACAAGGTTGGCGCTGGCGGGGGCGGGCGGCAACTGCACAGGTGCCTGACGCACATGTCTTCCTCTATGTACAGCAAAATGGAATATACACTGGAACCCCGGCCGTGCACTTGTCAGAGCACATCTTGCAAGGCTAACGCAGAATGGCATTGACCTTACTGCTTGCAACAGGAGGGAACGGCACCATCCCCAGGACCCGAGGCAGATGCCGGCACGGTCCTGCACTTCCCATTGGGACTGTCGTGACCAGAGCACACTCAACAGACCTGGGGTGGAATCAATGCCGTGTCTGTCTATGTTTTTAAGCAAATGTCATGTGAAAAGACTTGACAGCTTGTTGAGGAGGACGAGGATGGTTTTAAGGACATATGTAAATGAGCACTGCAAATCTACAGCCAAACCCTGACGAAGCTTGGTGGGAACAGTTTTATTTACGTGTTTTCTTTTAGTGAGTGCTAGTGGATGCTTTCCCCGCTGCCCCCGCTGCCAGCATCTCGTAGCATCTCCACAAAGTCTGAAGACAACCTTGAGGAGAAGCAGCCGCTTCTGAGCTGTTTCTTTATCCAAAAAGTGCAAAGTCTACACACTGATGGAACAAAAGGAAAAGAAAGCAAAAGAAAAGCACAGCAGAACAATCCGGTGACTGGGAGACCATGGAGCGTAGGCTAAACCCAGAAGAACCCAAATGAACTCTGTAAGGTTAAGCACTGGCGTAGCTACAGTAATGCTTTATACAGAAAGAGTCTGTTTGCTTGGCGCAGCCGCTTGCAAGGCTGAACCTCCTAACTGCAGCCGGGAGCAAGCCGATATGTGCACACCGCACTGTCACGACAATTGTGCTCTAAGTGCTTCTGCTTTTCTTTCCAGGGCACTGTAATGAAGACAGGATGTCATGCTGTTCACGCACAGGGTGGGTCTTAATGCTACTGCTCGATAGCTCGAATGGAAGGGCTGGTTCCTTGTGGGCTCTGGCTGCCATCATCCTCCGCTGTGTTCCTGGGGGAGGGGCCATGGGACACGCCAGTCACTGTGGGGCAGGGGAGGCGATGCTGCTGACGTGGAGTGGTTCCAGGCTCTGCCGGGGTCATCAGTGTTGACCACCAGGGAGGGAGCTTGTTTCTGAAGCAGAGCTGCCCTCAGTATCTGAGACATGCTGTGGGGACACTAGCTCTTCCGCCCCGCCCCAGCCCTGGGGAGTGGGGAGAAGGAGGGGACAGTTCCTTGGTTGCATATTGTCATAGAAAGAGCCACGTTTGTGCTTAGAGATGACGTGTGGTCAGTCCTCCTCCTCGTCCTCTTTCGTCGTGACTGTCGGTAGTTTGTCCTGAATCTGGAAGCACTCCACGAAGAAGTTGACGATGGATTGGTACAGATGTTGTTGGAGGGCGGCGCTGCTGAAGTAATGGCTTTCGTCTGGGTATATCTGCAAAGAAGGCAGGGAGGAGTTACTCACCCATGGCCCACACTCCCAATGGGACAAGAGACGCACCTAAGAAAAGAAGCCTAGTGAAACCCAGGCACCATGCGGGTCGGAATTTTAGTTGACGGAATGCATTTCCTGACCATATCAGCTGTGACACTATGCCTTTTCCTCCTGGAAGCTCTACCTGGCTGTACGGGCTGGAAGGGGCCCCCTGCCAGTGTCCCGACCACCTCCGTCCCCAGGCATCTCGCCCCCACCACACTAAGTGTGCACGTGGCAAGAATTGGCTAATAAATTAGAAAACACGTCCTTACAGACTCTCTCCAGTCTAGATGGGCTTGTTTGAATCTGCAACCTGGACACATGCTCGGGGTCTGGAGGTGAGAGCCCAAGTCTGGGGGGTGTCAGGAGTTGGAAAAGCAATGGAAAGAATTCTTCGCCATCTGAATAACCCTCTGTGTCAATAATCCTGCCATCATGTGTCCACGGGGCCGCCCGCCCATGTGTGCAGCCTGGCTCGTGGCTCACTCACCGCCAGACTGTGGACAGGTAACTCTCCTGGGCCTTGGTTTCCCATTGTGTCAGGTGGGGATAATAATTGTAATGGAATCTAGCTCACGATTCATGAGAGTTAAAGGATATGATACCTGTAAAGGGCTTAGAACCTGGCCTGGAGCCCAGGGGGTGTTGGGATGCAGGCCTGTTGCTGCTGGGTCAGTGCTCGATGCTGGCAGGACAGTGCCCTGACTCTATTGCCACTGTACTGACACTGCTGGGGCTTAGCTGAGCCATGCCCCTTCCACAGTTGCCAGGGGTTCAAAGCTCACGTTCTTTCCATGATACCAGGCTGCTGCCTGCACTATGAATCTGCCTTCCTCTTATGTGTTCAGAGGGTGACATACACATTTATTTTAAAGTACTTATTAACAATGTCACTAGGCTATTATATGGTCGTTAAAACATCAAGTGGCACAAAAGGGGTGTCCAGTAGGAAGTCTGTCTCCTGCCTTAGCCCCATACCCGTGCTCTTATCTGGAGTTGGTCATGGCTACAAGTTCACTGAGTGTCTGTTAAGACGCCTGCTGTGTGGCACACAGGCACTGAGTGGCCCTGCGCATGGATGCGGTGGAGCCCGTGAGGCAGCTCAGTGCCTGGGTGGCAGAACACAGCGTGTCTCAGGGAGTGGCCCACATCAGCACCCACAAGGGTACTTTAAAAAGTTTGTGGAAAAATGGAGCTGAAAGATAATATGTGGAATTAATAATTCCATGAACTGTTTGAAGACCCCTCACATTGATTGATCTATGTTTTATCCACCACGGCCGCATCATTTGTATAAAGTGTACATGCCTTGGCAGCTACCAAGTTTACCATGCTCTGACCATTTTCCAGAAGGAAATTCAAATGTGATAAAACTCAGTCCTTCCGTCCTACTCATCAACACTTGGGTCAAGCTTCCTTCTTGCCGGAAGTGCTGGCTGACCAGCCCAGCCCGCAGGTGGCCCTCCACAGGCTGGCGACGCTGGGAGACAGAGGCAGGTGCCAGGGTGGGAGCCCTCCAGGGAGACGGGGTGCCTGCTGTTCTCATGGGGGAACCCTCCCATATACCTTGGGACCTGAGGAGATCATCAGGTCATACCTATTTCATCAAAGGAACCAGAGGGCAGGGAGGAAATGGGAGAAGTTTCTGGAAGCAGCCCTGTGCATTGCTGGCAGGAGCCTAGGTTTGGTGCTGCAGGGTCTGTACTCGATGCAGCAGGACAGGCATGGATTTGGTTGTCACCAGGGCAGCGCATTTCCACTGTGGCTCAGCCACAGATGTGTGGGGACATCCTGTCAGTGTTAGGGGTGTGGGGTGTTGTCCAGAGGAGGCTAGGGAGAGAAGGGGCAGGACTGGCCAGTGCTATGCTTGGCAACACGGGGGCAGTGGCCCCATCTCCCCAGGCCAGGAACAGCAGCAGCCCACTGGCTTGGCCCTGCATAGTGCCCGGGGGCAGGGTCGTTCTGAAGGGGTTTAAACGTGGCCTCAGTGCTGAGCGCGCTCTCACTAATTAGAAGAGTGGCATGCGCTCACGTGTGACCTCACGTGCAACCTCACGTGCCTGCCCCTCCCCGGCAGCGCTGCACAGAAGCATCTGCGGAAACGGGGTGTCCTGAACCCCCATCCGTTCTCCTCTGCAGAGAGGAATGTCTTGCTCCAAGTAGGAACCGGAGTAGACACGCGTACTGTACCTGCAAGCTGTAATTGGCCTTTCCTCTGATTAGTTGTGTAATGAGTTCTGCTGTGTGCTGGAAATGGATTTTCTCTGTTAAAAAAGAAAACAAGAGGACAGCGTTTGTCAAAACCGGTCACGCCATCGAGGAGCATGCTTTCAGCAGACGTGCGGTGAGTGGTGAATGAATGCCCCCATTCTCACCGTCCGCGGTTGCGTGGATGATCAGAAACTGCTGCTCCTCCAGCGCTGCCACCCGATGGGCAACTTTGGTCATCTGCTCGTGTGGGGGAAGGGGAGAGAGTTAGTGGGCCCTGCTGCAGGCAGCCAGGTGCTTTGACTGGAAGCCTGACTGGGAAGGTAAGGGGACTGCACCCGAAACATTAAGTTCTGGGGAAACGGGGATGCACGGCCAATCTCAGAGGCCTCAGTGTCCCCTTACAGGGACTCTTTAGGAAAAGGAGGGGGTGGAAGAGAAGAAGGGAGAGGAGGAAAGAGTTTTCTCCAACTGCAGGTAGCTTCAGGGGGCCACAGAGTTGTGACGGGGCCAGAGGGGTGGGAGAGAGGAATTCAGGGAAAAGGCTGATGGATTTCATCAAATTCCCCATTCCACGGAGTGGCGGTCGCGCCCAAGCATACCTCATATGCTCTGTTGTCCAGCCCGTGGAGGCCCAAGTACCTCTCGGAAAATGCAGAAGCTGGACAGAAGCAAAGAGAGGGAAGCAGGTCACGTCCCGGCCTCCAGGCCCCGTCGGTGCAGAGCGCCTGGACTCTGGGGGGCTTAGGGACTGGGCTGGGGGTGGGCGGGCTCACTTCCACTTCCACGGCAAATGTTTGCTTTTAAAAACACCACCTAAATCTCTTGGGTCTTTACATGGGTAATCAGATAGCACAGTAGTAGCAGTTCAACATGTCAGTGCTGGTGGTTGGGTTTTTATCAGTACAGCAACACCTGAGTTAAGCAAAACCTAATTTATCTGAATCCTAAATAAACAGATAACCACCTATTTCATTTCAACCTATAGGAAAGGAAACACGTAGTAAGAGAGCAAATTTCTATTAGGATTTATTGATATTTAAAAAAATCTATTATGTCCTGCTCAATCCCAAACCCTGGCTCCAGGTCCAGGTTCTGCAGTGAGGACCTGGGGTCTGCCAGCTGGCAAAAGAGAGACGAGAGGCTTTCACTCCAGATGCAGAAGTCACTGCAGGGCCCTGCCCGGACTCTGGGGACAAGGAGTAGGGGTGGCCCGGTGGCGACTGCAGCAGACCTCTCCCTCCGTGAGCACGCAAGCCTTCGCCTACTCCCACTCCTGCCAGCCCAGCCGCGGCTCCTGTTTGACTCCTGGTCTTGGATGTTGGGAATATGATATATTGGCATCAGAGGCTTGACCATGTTTACTCAAAACGAATGACTTGAGACCCGCCCCTCTACTTCTGAGGCTTCTGCCTATGAGGTTTCACCCTTAGCCATCAACCCCGAGTGGTTTATTACGGACTCGGGGTGCATGAACTTAGGGAGGCAGAGGGAGGGGGGTGCTGCAGGGAGGGTGGTGGGGGCAGGCTGTGGGGCGCGACCCTTGGTCTCCTCAAGGCCATTTACCGTAGAGTTTGAAGTCTGTTATTGGAGAGAGAGCAGAGCCGCAGGTGAAAATCTGACCTTGGTTTTCACTTTTCGCTGGGAGGATGTAAGTGGTCAGGTACCCACCGTAATCCTAGGAAAGCGCAAGAGAGAAAGAGGAGAGGCGGGGGGAGTGACGGTCAACACTTCACCACAAACCCAGCCCCAGACCCAGGAGGACCAGCAACTTAAGCAGCCATGGTCACGTGGTTTCTCTTTCTTTTTAAAAAAATTTTATCTTTTAAAATTGTTTAAGGGCACTACATGCCTGGCATGAACCTCTAGGACTGTGCCCAGCCTCCTGTCTGTCTCTGAACCAAGGAGAGAAGCCACTGGTCTCTCTGCCTGACCGTGCCACCTCCAGTAGGCAGGGATGTGGGGGTGGGAGGGCCTGGCATGTCCTATTCCTGGGACCACCCCACAGGGCACACCCTGGTCTCGAGTCACACTGCTCCCATCCAACGCTGGGCTCCAAGGTTTCGGGGATGATGATGTAAGAGATGTTCAAGCCTTTACCTGCAGTGGGGTCATGCGAGGCCTCCTCTGGAGGGCCTGGCCAAGTTGCTGTCTCATTAAAAAGACGGATTTGTGCAACCCCTCTGCGTTCTAGCCTTGTTGAGGTCAAGAGGCCACAGGGTTAGGCTGTCTAAGGAGAATGAGGGGCCGTGGACCGGGGTGATAATGGGTGGCCCTCCAGGCACCTAACTCCCTGTCCCAGGCCACAGTCTCCAATGCGGGCCATCAGATCGAAGTTTCCCTGGTTTGACAGTTCAGGGCATGAATGTCCCAACACCCTTCCTCTCACCTAAGTACATGTGGTAATTAATGTAGCTACTACACATGAAGATATCCAGAGACAGATTCCAGCTTCCCTTCTGTCCTGGGTACCGCACCAAGCTCTACTGCAGGCTTGGGGAAGACAAGTCATTAGGAAGCTAATAGAGCTTTTCCTTCCAGAGAATGAAGAAGGAAACATCGATAAATGAGCTGGTCAAATGAAAGCTCCCATGGCCAGAAATACTAAGCATCCAACATCTTACTCTTAGAAAAATTACTGCTCCCACACCACGAGACCAGAGACGTGCTCAGCAAATCAGGAGAGGTCTGGGCTGACACAGCTCCACGCTCTTGAACTGGCAGAAGACAGCACAGACTCACCTTCCCGAACACGGCGACCCGTGTCTTATCCACGTACTGCTCTTTGAGCATCGTCCTGCAAGGGCAAAGAGGAGAGAGGATTTTGTGCGTGTGGAGGTTGCTCCTTGTATCCTGGTGGCCTAGAGCTGTGGTTTCCAACCATATCAAGCATGAAAACCCTTTTATAAATAAAAAGTAATCTTAGCTTTTATTCTTTTCTTTTTCTTTTTTTGGCAGCTGGCTGGTAAAAAAGGGAATCCTAGAATTCTAATGTAATAGTTTATTGCTCCTTTTATTTAGTACATGGGCAGTATGTTCAAATTAAAAACTCCAGCACCCTTGCTATAACTCTGTAGACATCCAGGTACATAAAGCTTGCCTGTAGCATTTTTATTTTTTGGTGGCTGGCTGGTACGGGGATCTGAACCCTTGGCCTTGGTGTTATAACACCGTGCTCTAACCAACTGAGCTAACCGGCCAGCCCCTTTGGTATAAAGCTCACTGAGAAACATTAGTCCAGAGCAGCAGAGACCATTCTGGGAGACCCGGGCCCCTTTAAGTCCCTGCCCTTCTGTTGCTATTCACCCCTCCCTTGGAACCCTGTGACTCCTAATCACCCCATGTCCTGGGATGGTCCCCTGGGGTTTAGCAGGGATAAAAGGAGCCCTGGTTCCAAACCCAGGGCTTAGAATCCAGCCAGCTCTCACTCCACCTGCAGTACCCTTTGTTCCCAGTTCTTGGGAGGAGGTCCCAGTCTTACAAGACTTTGGCCACAGAATCATTCTTTTTTGAGCTTCCTGCCATAGCCCTGCCTAGGAAGTGACCAGCTCAGTGCTCCAGCTGACTTTGCCTGGTTCCTTTTCTCCCTCTTGCCAGGATCCCACCCACCCTTCCCACTGGGGTCCCTTGTGTCTCCCACAAAGTGTCTGGGAACTTTCTGGTTTCTGGACCCTAATCAGCAGCAGGAGACCTGCTACCTGCTGGCTTTCTAGATAGAAATTATTATCTACTAGATTTTATATTGAGCCAAACTACACTGTCAATATGGGAATAGAATAAAGGCATTTTTAGACATTTTCTAGACACGAAGGAATGAACAGATAAAAAGGAAGACATGTTCTGTTGTTCCTTAGCACATAACCTAGGGTGTGTGGGTGTCTGTGCACTCGTGTGTGTACATAGGATCCAAAAAGGAAGAGGGTGAAGGAAATCCCAAGTTGAGCCTGGAGACAACCTGTCCAAATGGACCAGAGAAGGGCAGAAGAATACCTCAATGCATAAAATTAGAGTCCATAGTGACTAGTATGTTTGAGCATTTGTAAAAAATACTAACTGGAATGAGGAAACACCTGGGAAATATGAGTACACAGAAACTGCCCCGAGTGAAAGACAAAGCAACACTTCTGGAAAAATTAACAGGTGCATAGAAAAACAGAGCATTATAGTACACCACCTGGCTGTGCAGTGAGCAATGTTTACATAGCAACCCTGCACCTCAGACTACTGGCTTAACTACACATTTTTTTTCCTTTTTGTCTTTTTTACTGACCGGCAACGGGTTTGCAACCCTCGGTGTTGCACCCGCACTGCGCTCAGCCAGTGAGCAGGAACCAGTCTCCACATGGGATCTGAACCCTCTGTGGGAGCGCCGCCGCGCTCTCAAGCAGTGCACTCTCCAGTGCACCACCGGGCCGGCCCTTAACTACACATTTTGATTTAACATCATTGGGAAGGTGAAGAGAAAGGGGTGGGTGGTGTACCAGAGAGCTAAATCGCCATCTTCTACAAAAGAGTCAGTAGATGATAAACTATGAGGTACATAACTGTATTCAGAGATACGGAGGCAAACACGACAAAACAGCTCATGGGGTTGAGAGTGGCTGCCTCTGGGGAGGACCGGGGAGGGCAGACAGCAGTGGCACAAAGAATTTATAGTTGGTGTTGAGCATTTGTTATGAGTTGGACTGTGGTTCCCCCCAAAAAGGACATTTTGAAGTCCTAATCCCCAATATATCAGAATGTGACCGTATTTGGAAATAGGGTCCCCTGCAGATGTAATTAGTTAAGTTAGAATGAGGTCATACTGGAGTAGGGTGGGGCCCTAATCCGACATGTCTGGTGTCCTTATGAGAGGAGGAGAGACACAGAGATCAGGGGAAATGCCACATGAAGACAGACCACTGGAGAGCTGCATCTACAAGCCCAGGGACGCCAAAGAGGGCAGGCCAGCCAGCACGCGGAAAGAGGCAGGGAGCTCCTCCCCTCGCAGGTTTCAGGGGCAGCCTGGCCCTGCCCACACCTTGGTTTTGCTGTTCCAGTCCTAGCGAACTAATATTTCTGCTTTTTCAAAATGTTACATGGGTGTTACAGGATAGCCTGGAAGACTTCAAGTAATATCTGGCAGGCTTGGAATTTGGAGGCGCACACCGCCCCCCCAAGTGCCGTATGGGCTGATGGACACTGCAGGCACATCTGCACATCTGCAAACAGTTGATACATTTCTCCCAGTTCCTGAATCTTCTCCTCAGGACCTCAATCCCAGATACACAGAAGTTCACCTGGGGACATCTGGGTGGAATGGTCCAGCACAGTCAGCTCCCTTCCCTCAGGATGGGCTAACCTGCTCACATGTGGATCCTGAGCCATGGCCAGATGTGCAGGCCACACTCGCTGGGCATCTAAGCAGGAGCCTGTGCAGACCAGACCATGGAGTGTGGGGTGAGCCAGCTGTACCTGGAAGGGCATGAGACCAGGGTCTTGGACTGCATTCCAATCTGTACAAAACCTCCTATTTTTATTTTCAGCCTTGCTGCTAATTCAGCAGGCAGCCTTGGGTCTCTGGCTCCCCTTCTTCTAATTATCGGTGACTCTTGCTTCCTGATCTAAAAGCCATAAATCTTGCTAATGGTTCTCATTTGTAAAGTACTCTGGAGTGTTCCAGGAATAGTTATTTTTTCCATTGTCAAATATTTTTATTATCTTGAAGCTATATTTTCACTAATCAATTGAGCAAATCCTGTGGGATGAGTTTTTCCTGGTGAACGGTAGAGCTCCAGGGACAGGAGACCCCATTTTCTCTGTGGGGTGCACTTTTTATTGCTGGGGATGGTCCAGGGCACAGCAAGGAGCGGAGAAGAACCAGTCAGGGCATCTCTCTCGAGGGTGGACGGAGTTCAGTTCCACGCCCAGGTTGTGGAGGGTTCAGAGGAAGGACCCCGAATGACACAGTTCCAGCCCGTGAGAAGTGTGCGTCTGTGGGCAGGGAGGACACCACCGTGGGACAGCAGAGACAAGGATCCCATGGCATGGTGTGCTGTCCACTCCATGGGCCACCCGGACAGCAGCCGCTGGAACAGCTGAGCCGCAAGCAGGGATGGAACGGTCACAAAAGCCTGGGCTGGGCTGGCGGGGACTGTGGATGTGGGAGGCCATGGAGAAGACCTCGGCAGTGATGATATCATTGTGTGTGGCATGGAGAGTTGGTGGGGACATCTGGGGACACAGGTGGCAGCACAGAGGTATGTGTCCGCAGGTTGTGGCTCTCTCTTCTCCCTTCAAGGGAACCAGTGGTAGGGCTGCAGGTGGTTGACGGCACCAGCTGCCACATCTCCCGACCTGCTACTGTGTCCTTGCTGCTGGGGCCTGGTCAGTGACAAACCTGTCAGGGGCTCAAAGGCCGGGCCACGTCCACTCAACCAGATCCTCCAGCGTGTCCTTGGCTCCCAGCTCATGACAGCCAGGCGGAGGCTCTCTCGCCGTGCTGCCATCTGGGCTTTTCTGACCAGTCTCCCCTTCCCTCTGCTGTCCTGCCATGGCAGCCTGATGGCGCTGCACCCCTACCACCCCATCCCCTGCACCCTCCACAGACACTTGTCCCCATGCGTATCTAATTCCATCTTGGCATCCACTTCTCGGGGTACCCAAGCTGACGCAGGTGTCACTGACACCACAGCCACTTTGGGCACCTTTGGAGTGGGGGAACCTTGCAGCGGCATTGTGAGCACTGCCGTGTGTCCCAGCAGTCACCGTCCACCCCCGGTCTCCCGAGGTGGACGCTTCCAGGTGCTCAACTCCTCCATCTCCGAATTTATTCACTCACCGATCTCGCCAGCTCTGCCTCGGGAACGTCTCCCAGTCGTTCTCCACCTCGCGGCGGTGTGGCCCCCCCCCGACCGCTGGCCACCCCTGGCCATGTCCTGCTGACGAGGAGCCGCGGGACAGCGGCCACAGTCGGCCACCGGTGACCTGCGCTGCCTCCCGACTCTGGCTGAGCTGTCCGTTGCTGGACCAGCTCTTCTTCTCTAGACCTTAGTTTCCCCATTTGTAATGATGGAATAATAGTGTCACCTCCTGGGGTTGTTTGTGGCAGTTGCCAGTTCACACCCAGGAAGTCCAGCGCGGTACCGGCCGTCAGCGGACACTCGCTCAATGCCCTTCACCCCTGCCTGCCGCCTGCCGCCCCTTCCTGTGGCCCGAGTGAGGCTCTGTGCCTGCGGGTGACGCTGGGAGTGGCCACGGGCTCACACGCCCTCAGCCAGGGCTCAGCCAACGGGGAGCGCAGTGCAGCGAGGCCCCTGGTCAGGGTGCGGGCTCTCCTGGCTCCAGCCTGCACAGCTCCTGGGTCTCCCCTGCCCATGAGGGAACGCCTTGTCTTCCTGAAAACTGTGGCTGTCACCGGCCCCAGGACACGACGCCAACCCCACCTGCTGATGCCTCTGTACACGCTCACTTACTCATGCTCCTCAAATCGCCAAATTTAAATGTTTTCTCCTAGGACTAGGGCCCATAAGCCCAGCTGCTTGCTGCCAGAACTAGGTTCTGAGACAAAGCTTACCTTGCAACCTCCTCGCTTAAAAGAACATCTTCTGGTCCACTGTTGCCTCTTGTCATGAAGGACTCCTGAATGTGATGTGGGAAGTGTCACAGCATCAGGTCCCCACCTACCCCCCAATTCACCTCCTGCCCCTCCATGGACCACCTACCACCCCCACCCATCTCCTGCGCCTCCACGGTCCACCTTCATCCTAAGTTTGAGTGTGCCACAAACGGGCTGTGCCTTTCTTTTATCTCGGGCCTTTGTTCACAATATTTTATCTGTTTGGAATGTGCATCTCTTATTTCTATCTGGCAAATCTTTATTAATTCTTCAAAGTGTTTCCCAAAGTCCCCCTCCTCCCAGAAGCCCTCCCAGGCAGGTTTTTTGGCTTCTGGAGCACTGTGCTCAGGTGCTAGTGTAGCTCTAATCTGTACTCAAATTACCCATCTACATGACTGTCCTCTTTTCTTACTTGGGGACTTTGCTTGTGTTAGCTGCTAATGGAAAGTGGCTCCCCGTGGGTTCCCAGATGGAAGGATTAGGTGGAGGCAGATGGGAGACCTGGAATGGGAGCCTGGGAGCTTTGGGAGTCAGCATGATAGGCTGGCCTCACGATTTCTACAATTCTGATAAAACTGGGCTATATCTGACTAATGAAATACAGACCCAGATCCTAAAGAAAGGTTAGTATGTTTTCTGTGGCTGGAAACATTTGGGTGTCAGTCCTTACGGAAGTCTATGTGTTTATGTGGCTAGAAGCTTTGCAATGGTTTATGCTGTCTTGTTCTTGCAAGCTTCAGTTGTTTAAGTGTTGATATTATTGACTGTTTTTCCAGAACAGGTTCTGCCTTGTTTTCAAACAGATGGCTGGGTCAATCCTTTATTTTTAGAAAATGACGCGAATGGAAAACAGCCTTTTGCGCTCTTTTTCCTGAGCTCTAAGGGGAACAGCTAGAAGAAGCCAAGTGCCCACACGTGAGCAGGCTGCTGGCGTGCCTGAAGGACACTGTGACCTTCCACCTGGGCCCTTGTTGGGTGGGAGGAACCCCATCCTCACTGGGAGGAGTGAGACCAGGTAGGGCAAGGAAAGAGTGGGGAGGACAGGAAAAAGCCACCAGCACGTGGACAAGGAGCAAAGGAGGAGCAGGGAGAGGCGAGGAGAGCCCCACACGGTTACCGGGTCCCACCCGCCCCCAGAGCCAGCTGGGGCCCCTTCGATTCCTGAGCACCTTCGGCGGCTGCAGGCAGCACCTGCGCTTTCTGCTTCCAGACAGAACCGCGCGCACTCTCAGCTGCCTTCCTTTCTACACTGGCTCTGAAACTCCACGGGATGGCAGACCTCAGGGTCGACTCATCCAGAGACCAACGATGTCACCAAAGACCCAGGGCTCTCCATCTCTCTGCTCGGCCAACCCCGATGGCCTGGTCCTCTGCAGCCCCTTCTCATGCTCACAGGTGCTGTTGGTAGCACCTGGCTGTGTGCATCTTCACTCACCTCCAGCAGGTAGGGGAGGGAACCACTTCCAGAAACTTCCAGAAAGGAAGGGATGAGCCTCTCCAGAAGCTGCCAGCAAACCCTGGCTTCCATCTCCCTGGCCCTCCCTGCTCGTTCCTGAACCCAGAACCCAGAACTCACATTGGTAAAGAAGTGCAGGAGTTCCCCTGAGACCGAGGGGCCTGTCCCATCTGGTGCGGGGCTGGCCTGCGCTCAGGGGAAGGCAGTGGAGAGCACGTGGTTCTCTCTGGAAGCAGGAAGAACAGGTGCTGCTGGGCGGGCGGCAGAAGGTGCTCAGGATGGAACGGGCCCAGCTGGCTCTGAGGGGCGGGTAGGACCTGGTAGTCGTGTGGGGCTCTCCTTGCCTCTCCCTTACTCCCTCCTCCTTTACTCCTTGTCCGTTTGCTGGTGGCTTTCTCCTGCCTTCCTGTTTTCAACGTGCATTTGGGATCGTGCGTCTGTGTGCGTGTGTGTGTGTTTACGTGTGCGTGCACGAGCATGTGTATGAGTGCATATGTGTAGTTGTGTGTGCGCATGCATGTGTGGTGTGCGTGCATGTGTGGTTGTGTGCATGTGCGTGTGCATGCGCGTGCGTGTGGGTATGTGCATGCATGTGTGCGTGCGTGCACCTGTGTGTGTACATGCACGCGCGTGTGTGTGTTGGTGGTGGTGCTGCCGCTGACTTCCAGACAAAAGCCCTGACAGATCCACCTCCCCTGACTAGCTGAGCCCTCAGAACTGTCTCCCTCTGTATCTCTGTCTGTCGCACACACAGGGCTCGGGAGACACCGCCTGCCTCTCTTCAACCAGCTCATCCCTCCGGAAGGAGAGGGGGCCGTTCACTCGCTTGCTGTTTTCCCCATTTAAGATTCATTTCCTGGGAGCCTACCATGTGCCATCCATCTTTTTAAAAATGAGAGAAAATGTCTTGACAAGTCACTAAAGTAAAATCCTTGAACGCGAAAGCCCACTGGCGTGGTGCCAGGTCCAGACGCCAGGCTCACACGAGCCCTTCAGTCCACACACCCGCGCTGAGCTGTGTTCCGCCCTGCCCTCCACGCACCGGGGCCAGCATCGTGCACCCCACGCGCCATGCAGACAGCCGTCGTCACTGCAGCCTCTGTCACAAGTGCTCTCTGTGCCGTCCAGCATTCCAGGCGGGCGAGCCGGGTGAGTGGTTCCCGCAACCTTGTGCAGAGGGGAAGTCATGCCCAGAGCCACGGTCCTCTGTGCTGCAAGCCTGTGAGAACTGTGTTTCCTCCCGGTGACCAGAAGGCCAGCTGTAGCCTGGCACAGGCTCCTGAAGTCTGTCTTCATTTCCAGGGAGACAATAAAATTCAATAAATGCTTTTGAACATCTGCCCTTGACGCTAGCCTCTTTCTGTTCTCCGTGGTCCTCGGCCGGTCTTGCTCACTCAACGGCTGTGACGTGGAGGAACCGTGAAGTGACACACACCCTTCTGCAGCAGGATGAGGTGCTCTGACCCAGCACCTGCACGTGCCCAGCACCCCTTTCTCGGTAGTGGGGCGGCCCGTTGGCGTGGACCGATTCCCACTCATACTCTCTGTCTGTCTGTCTTTCCTTCCCTACCTCCTCCCTCTCCCCCTTGTGACGAATGGTAAAGACATGTGTGGACACTGTGCAGGGCTGGTGACACAGCACAGAGAAGCCAGACAGACCCAGCTCACCATCGCCGCCTCTAGCACCTGTTTTAATCAACTCAACGAGCAACCCACGTGGCTACGGGAACCGGAACAGTCTCCGGAGAACGCCACTCACAGTTCCCTGGACACTGGCTTGTAATGGCCCGAAAAGTGCATGCCAACTGCGTGCTCGGACAAAAAGCGTTCATCTGAAGGGACCTCGGGGCGGCCCCCAGGGCAGAGCACGGCCCGGTCCCCTTCCTCCCTGGGGTGGGGAGGGATTGCTCACCGCACGGCCTCCACCTGGTCCTTCTCCTCCAGGGAGCCCAGCCTCCTCCTCACTTCGTGCAGGAGCTTGGTCCCCTGGAAGCCGCTGCCTCGGCCGTCGCACTTGACCACCACCGCTCCATGGCTGCTCACCATCACCGTCTCCCAGGTCACTTCGAACTTCTCAGCCACGCTCTGGCTCCCGGGGGTGCCGTCCCTGGAAGAGAAGGTCCCAGGCCTCAGTGGGCTGCACGGCGGGCAGCGGCCACGTCTGATGACCCCTTCCTGAGGGATTTTATCCTTTGCCCCGGCTGCCAGGTGCCCGGTGCCCCCCCCCAGGTCTGGCAGCCCAGGGCACCAGCAGGCACTGTCCATGTAGCACAGGGACGAAGAAAATGCGTGCTCAGAGCCCTGCACCACCAAACACACGGCACCGTCAAAGACAGTCATCAGAGGCGTTTACGATAACGTCCTCCCGGCTTCTCCTCTCAGGGTGCTTTCCCCGCGGCAAGACTCTGCCTGCCTTCCTGGGGTTCTAGCTGTCGCGGCTGCTCCTTACAGCCCCTGCCACGTGAATGACAGGAAGGTGTGGACTCCTTCTAGCCACATCCCTGGTCTGAAGAAGTGGTCTGTACTTTGGTTCAGGCAGAAGCAGCAGCACCCGCGCTGTCCCGGAGCCCCTCGTCCTCCGCATGCCCCCGGACAGCAAGGTGGCCTGTGCCCGCTGGGCAGTGGTGTGCGGAGCTCCCCATGGGCGACCCTGCCCCCGGCTAGTCCCTCCTCAGCAACTCCCCGCTTGCCGTGCTGGTGCCCAGGCTGGAGAATCTACACCAGCGAAATGGGTGATGCCACGCACAGGGCCGCCCTCAGTGAGGACTGGTGGTTAGACATTCGCGGGCACACGAGTGGGGATGGCAGAGGCGGTTGAGCTATGTTTCCCTTTGGTGGGGAAGGAGGGCAGGAGAGAGAGCTGGAGCGTGCAGGGTCACGCAGTCTCCCGCAGCAGCAGCAGCAGCGCCCTCTGAGCGGTGGCCGACACCTGCGCGGATCCCGCCTCCAAAGGGACCGCCACCGCCATCCGGCTCCCTGCCCAGGGCTGGGGGACAGCGGCGGGATGCGGCCCAGCAGTCCTGCAGCTGGGCCAACCTGGAAAGCATCAGCCCACGTCATGGTGTTGCTCGACGTGAAGCGAGCATCTGTTTTCTTTTGGATTTTTTTTTATATTAAGCAGGCACCATCTGTATGGTTCTTTTGGAGTCTTGGGGTCCCCAAATCTCCTTGCTGTCACATTTGAAGTCAGAACAAAAAACAGATAAGCAAAGACACTGCCTGCTAGGCCAGCTAAGCGGCAAGTTTGCACACTGTTAGCGTTTGGCAGGTCCTGTCAGAATTCAGGCTGCTACCACTGCCTTGGAGGGGAGTCGTTCTGTGAACTGAGAAACCTCTGGGACTTCTTTGAAGATCACTGAAGAGACCAGTGTACAGGGGGTGAAAGCTGGTTTTGAAATCATTAGCATCTTTGGGAAAGTGGTGAAAATGTGGGAGTAAGGAAGGAGAGTCAGTGTGAGGGACGTGTGTGTGCTGTGTGTCCGTTTGTGTGCATGTGTGTGGTGTGTGTGTGTATGTGTATTTGGGTGTGTGCATGTGTGTGTGTGGTGTGTGTAGGTGTGTTTGGGCGTGTGCATGTGTGTTTGGGTGTGTGTATGTGTTTGGGTGTACAA